GGGAAGGAATGACTGAACTGTCACTGGGATGATAACCCCTTTGTAACTAGGGATTAATAAAAGAGTTACTGTCACTTTATGGTGCTGTAGGCAGTACCTTGCACAAGACTGGATTACTACTAGCCAAGGCAGGTAGTGAGGACATCAGCCCAACTATACAGGCAGGGAGAAAGAAGAATATTAGCAAGCAGCACACAGAATCTGCTTCCACACTGATCAACATCATAAAAATGAACCACTGGCAGCTGGACAAGATGTAAATCCAATGAGTGGCATTTGTCAAGGGACAAAGCTGAACCCCAGGGAAGACACTTTTATGTCTCTCTGCCTGTGGTCTGTTAACCTAAGCACGCAAATCTCAGGCTGCATGTGTGCTTGCACGTGCACTCTGACAATGAAGAAGCAAATTTTCATTTCCCTCTTTTCTGAATTTGTAAACCTTCCTGTTTGAGTCATTTTAGCCACAGTTATCTCACATCACCCATTTCCCTCTTGCCACCCTGTGCAAGCAGTGGTGTTTGTGTGGGTGAGGTCATGGCTCAACTCCCAACAGCCCTTTTTCTTTCTTACATAGTAAATGTTATCCCCCATACAGTATCCAGGTGCATCTGTGGCGACAGACCATCTTATTACATTAGCAGCAATTACTGAATCCATCTCAGTGCCACAGAGGAAACAGTTAAGCTAACTGCACTGCTTTATAGCAAATCTGTCAAAAGAACTGAGTTTTAAAAATGAAAATTGCTTTTCAGACCAAGCCTGACACAGGCCTGCCTCTGCCCCTAAAGCCTATTGCTCCCTAGTTGCTGTATGTCGACCAGTTTCATTCTCCTGTCAGCTTTGCTTCATATTCCAAATCAATCACAGAGGACTAAATGGTGTTAGCTTGATCAGCACCTGCATGCTTCTGCCCCTTGGGTTTTGCCTCTGAAACTTCTCAGCCACATTAGTTCATAAACCATCAATGGAACCTGCAGTATCTCAGAAGGCTCTAACAGAGGAAATCTTAAGGATATTAAGGAACTTTATTTGGGAGTAGAACATCTTTTTGTCAGCGAGAAGGGAATCTCCTAAAGGGAAGTTTAGGTTGGATATTAGGAAAAACTTGCTCACGAGCAGGGAATTAAAGCACTGGAACAGGTTGCCCAGAGAGGATGTGGAATCTCCATCCTTGGGGGTGTTTTAAGACCCAGCTAGATAAAGCCTTGGCTGGGACAATCTAGTTGGGGATGGTCCTGCTTTAAGCAGGGGATTGATCTAGATGACCTCCTGAGGTCCCTCCCAGCCTTAATTTTCTATGACTTCCTTCTAAATCAGGCACTTTCTCAAAAGGGTCAAACGTAATCGATACTGTTTGCTACATGACTTTTGATAATCCCATTTGCAGAACATGCATCGCTGTAGATTGAGGGTGCTGTGGGGCAAGGGTGGGTCATGGTGAACAGTTTGTCTCTCAGTCCATGGGTCCCAATCCTGCAATAATACCCATAAAGGGCAGGGGAAACATTTATGCCAATGTAAAATTACTGCCTTCAATAATGGTTCTATGCAAATACAATTCCTTCTAAAGACCCATAATTAAAGCCAACAGACTTGTAGAATTGGGAGTTTACTTGATTTTCACTACAGAAAAGAATGCTCAGCAGCTCTATGTTTAGCCTTTATTGGTGCAGTTCCTTTGGTGGAGGAGATAGACCTCTACTTCTGGAGATCCTGAATTATCTGAAATCTGCTGTTAAACCTTCTTGTAGCTAACACTTTACTGGGAGAAATAAACACACAAAATGAACCAAATACCACATAATGTCTCCAGTGAGACAGAGAGAGAGCCTGACGCACAAGAACTTCCAACCATTGTAAACACCAGCTCTGATGCAATGAAAAATACCAAAAAAACCCATGAGAAACCTGTACAAAATAGAATCTGCCATCCAGATACTGATTCAGAGTGAACTGGTACCTTTCCCAACTTGTTCAAAAGCACATGGTCCACATGTTATGTTGAATCAAAACCAACTCCCTCTCTTAAGGGTGTTGGGGCATGGATCCATAGAATAAGAATTGGCGTTTTACAGTCGTTTGTCAGCCAATCGTTGCCAATTGCACTGGGAAGCAAAGTTAATGCTGGGTGGACAATAAATGAAGAAACAGATGTAATGGCAACTGGTCTTCTGAACTGTTAGAATATAGTCTGCACGTTGTTTGGGGGTTTCAAGAGGTGCAGAGTTTTTATGAATCCATACAATACAGACAACCCCCACTTAGCGCTCTGAATTCGTTCCTGAAAAACAGAGCCTTAAGCGAAATGAGGGTTAAGTGAAACCAAAAGTTTTTGACAATCCAAGATGGTGACCGCAAGTGTTTTTAATAACCCAAGATGGCAACTGAGAGCGTTATAATGAAACACGCTGAGCATTGAGTGAAGTCAGGTATCAATTTAAAATGAGCGTTATAGTGAAATAGTGCTAAGTGAAACTGCGTTAAGCAGGGGTTGCCTGTATTTTTTATAGGCTGGGCTCCATTGAAACTAGTTCTCAGTGGTCCTTCTTTATTACAGGTCTTGTTTCTAAACTTTGTGTACTGCCCCACTTATTTAAAATGTGCTCCTACAGCTTAATCTGGTTTTTTTTACAAGCTCTGAGGAAGTGAATTTCTACTGTTTTGTTTTGTTTTGTTTTTTTACAGATTTCATAAAGCCACCTTGGAAGACTTCCCTTGCCCAAGCTATCAAATCCATGGGAAGTGTTGCTGATGGCTTGCTGCGTAAGTTGTGGGTTTAACAGACAGTGCACAACAAAAGGAAAGCAGAAAAGACTTCTCTCCACAAATATTTTAACACTGCCTTTCCCCAATTTCCTATGGTGCCATGCACAAACACACCCCATATTCCTCCCTCAGTTTCTATGATGTCTTTTCTATGTGGAAGGTAGGATACATTTTCATCATAGAGACTACCCAAAGTGTGTGCATGTGTATGCATGCATACACGTGTGCAGCATAAGCTTTCATGGGCTAAAGTTCATTTCATCGCACTCTGCTTTGTGCCATTCCAAGTAACCCAATGTTACTGGGACACTGTGCACCTCTATCACTCAATTCACCCTACCCCACCTCTCAGCACACCCAAAGCCCTCTTTTTTCCCTGGGGTGCGCAAGCACAGGCTTCCTCCACACATCTTGGTGACCCTCCAGCTCTCCATCCCCTGCCTCACTGCATTTCCCTTTACTCACTTGCTACCCCCATCTCAACTTTGCCCTAAAAGTGGGAGTCACAAGGTGGTCAGTTTCTGTAACTATAAGTGTTTTTCTTTATAAACCCAAGCCTCCTTTATTCTGGGTCCCTCTTCTCAGCAACCCAAAGAGGTTTGCCTTTAATAGGCCAAACAAGTCCAGAAAGACAAGGAGTAGAAGGTAAAATACAGATCTGTTTTCAAAACACCACTGACAAAGTTCTGTTCTATTTTCACCCACCTCCTGAGAAAGGACAACCCTCTCTTCCTCAGCATTTCAGAGGCTCAGCTCCCCTTGGGAGGCTGATAACGAAGCATCAACTCCATCCTGAATCTGCCACTCTGTAATAAAGGCTTATGCTGAATGCAGCTGGTGCAGAGACATGCTCTGGGTAGCCTTTGGGTAGGCAGACAGCTGAAAAGAAATGCTACTAGCTGCCTAGCCCCAACCAGGCTCCAGCCACTGCTCCACGGACACTGTCAGAGGTCTGCTGTTCTCACTTGACTAGATGGAAGGATCCCTAGTACTGTCTCCTACCGTGAGCAGTTCATTTACAGAGGCAATTCCCCAAAGGCAACTCACCCACATCCTGCTCATGTCAATCAGCTCATTCTTGTACCTCAGAGAGTCTTTCAGGACCTGGAAGGGAAATGGAGAAGAGACAGTCAGAGAGCAAAGAGAGACACAGAGCTTGTTAGCAAGCCAGCCATACTGCCAGGCTTCTAGCGTTACAAACAAAAGCTTTAGTTTGTGAGAAGAGTTTGATCTAGCACTGAGAGAACGAAATAAACAACACCTCTGGGTTCTACTCCCAGCTCTGTTCCTGAGCAAGCTACAGCATGTGCATGCCTTAATTTCCCTACCCATGCAACAGAAGCGACAATCCACCCCCCAGCTCGCACAGGCTGAGGTCTTGTCTATACTTGGAAATTTACAGAGGTAGTTGTTTTGGAATAACTCCCTGTGAAGATGTTCTCCTTCCAGAATCACAGGCAACTTTTATTCTGGAATAAGGGCATGAACAAATGAATAAATCACAGTAAATTAGAACAGAGCCGGGACTTGCCACGGAGCAGCCAGTGCAGAGCTTATTCTGTGGATTAGGTGTTTAAATGTGATCCTATCCCATCCTGTGTGAGCCCCTGAAAATCTATCATTATTTCATCTACTTTTGTAATACCAGGTCCTCTTAGCCTTAAGTCTAAGTCACAAAAAGCAGCATGGAGGAGGAGCACCCACTGAACTTTTGTTAGTTTTTCAGGGAATCAAGCTGAGTGGAACAGAATTACACTTAGGCACCTAACAGGCAGAATAAAATCTGGCCTCTAGTGGCTCGGTGCCCATAATTACCCTGCAGGAAGTAAAACCTAAACTAAGGCAAGTTAACTTTCAATAAAACAAGGGTTTTGATTCCACTGTGGTATGAAAGCAAGCACATGGACAGTCAACATGCATCAGTTCTTCCATGGTAAGTCCCTGCCCCCTTCACATTCCCCAATGTTTGCCTGCCACACAGAGTATCCATGCAGAGAGTTATTTTGGAATAGCTGTTTTCATAAATCTCCAAGTGCAGGCAAGTCCTGAGAAGGCTTAATTGGTTCATGTCTGGAAAGTGCTTGAGATTCTGTGAATGAAGATGGAGAAAGGCAAAGAATTACTGTTCTTGAAATGCATGTGTCTGCAGTGGGCTTCCCTAGCATCTAGCAAAGAGGAGATGGGAACCACAGCAAGCAAGAGGATTGGCTAAAGGATAAGGCAAGATGAAGGATGCAAGATTAGTCACTGGGGAAGAATTCTTTCTGTTTCCAGGTCTCAGCTCTAGGTTGGGAGAGACAAGTGATGGATTAAACACTTCTATTGTCCTGTGCAAACTGTTAAACAAAAAAAGTCTACATCTTTCCCTTGATCAGCTATAGACCTGGGCCTGAGGAGGCACCAAGGAGTGGGTAGAGGCCACTGTTAGCATGAATTTATGACCCAGATACCTTGTTCTGGGCAGAAGCAAACCATCAGACTGACCACAACCTCTCCACTCAATAACAGGGGAATGTTATTGATGCACAGTGATAGCAGATAAGAATAATGCAAACAATTCTATAGCTACCAGTCCTAGAGTTGTCACAGGGTCGAGATATGTATGGCCAGTACGTGAGCTTCACCCTGAGGTTCTTTCTTGAATGCCAGATGTCAGCAGCTTGGAGGTCAAAGGCTGAGGCAACACAGGGGGGTAGGTGAGATGGGTGGTGTTATGCCCTCTGGCCATGTTGGCCTTGGGTTCCCCTCTCAGGGGCCCTCTGCTGCTCTGAAATCCCTTCTTTTGTATTCTCTCTCCCTCTGATGACTCTTCATTTCCAGGCATCGTTGATTGGTCTGTCTCCCTGTGGTCATCATACTGTCAACATTCTGTCCTGTCAGCATATTCTTTTGTTTCACAAACCCATCACATGCACACATCCTAATTTGGTTATTTCCAGTATCCTCCTAATCTTGTCAGTTTCCCCAAAATCAGAAATCCCAAGGCACTACAGTTGGGCACTGTGACCTGGCCAACACGGCAGAGTCCCTTATCTCTGTTATGGTACACTGTTTATGTTATGGAACAGTGTGGTACATATCTTCAAATTCCCAGCCTGTATGTCTGCTTGCTGTTTGCCTGTGTCAAACACAGCTGGCCTTGAAGGAGACTTTGCCATAAAAAGGCTTTTAAAAATCAATTAACCTTTGCCGTTACCCTGGACCATTGTTCTGATGCAATATCTACTTCACCTATAAGCCAGTTCCCAAAAGCAAACCTCTAAATACTAGGGGTGCACCGACAGAGATTTTGGGGGCCGATACCAAAAGCTGATATTTAAGGAGGTATATTGGCCGAAACCGATCCAATATCTGATACAGCTGCCTCCAAGTGCCAAGTCTGGTGTGGTAGAAGGGGACAGGGAAGAGAAAGGGAACGGGGGAGGGGTGCAGATCAATGCCCCCTGCAGTGAGGGAGGGGGCAGGGGCAGGCACTACCACAAGCTGCGGCTCTGTCCCATGCCCTCCCTCCCAAGCTGGGCAGCGCATGCGCCCTCTCTCACCACGGGGGGCGTTGATCTGCACCCCCATGCCCCTTCCCTACTCCCTCCCCTTCTGACTTACCAGCTGGAGGCAGCTCTCCATGCTGCCAGTTCTGCTCCATGTTGTGCTGCGGCTGCGTGCAGCACAGGCATTTTTTGTCCAAATTACTGGCCCCATAGGGCTGATATCCCATATAGACAATTTTCTTCATATTGGTACTGATCTGATACTGGACCGATGTATCAGTGCAACTCTACTAAATACCATTTTCTAGCCATCAGCCATTGTTAGGGCAGCTATACTGGCACTAAATAGCTTTTTAAAAATAGGATAGGAAAGGTGTAAAATGCCTGTGGTGTATAAGAGTTTAGAAGGCCCAGGATGGGGAATGGAAACAATAAAACAGGGCTTATTCTCCTTCCCCAAATCTGCCCATTTCTCCCTCTTTTTGATAAATACAAATTTACAGCCTCAAGTGATCAAAAATCCTAAAACTGGTTTAAAATCCTGAAGTAAGAAAAACACAGGTAAACTAAAATTTAGGTCTTTTATGAGCTTTCCTGATCTTTTATTCTTTCTTTTCAGATTCTCAACAAATATGCCACTCAAAAAGGCTAAGACCATCACATCTCCGGAGCTGAAACTTTAGAAAAACCATCAAGTATTACTAGACATATGATCTACAAGAATTGGCAACACTATGATTGCCCTGCAAGGTCATCCTCTTCCTTACCTGTGATAATGGCTGAAAGTATGTCAGAAGCAGTTTTAGTATTCCTGCTTCCTACAGCGGTAGAAAGTGAACTTACATTTGGGTGTCCATCGCGGAGGAGCTTGTGGAACACGTGGCAGAATTTCCAACAGAGTACAGCATTGCTGGAGAGGGGCAGCCGATTGACAACACACCAGAAGGTCTGAGCTCCTTTCTCATGGTGAGTTCCCAGGATGCATGGTGAAAGACAGTGCTAAGAAAAATCCAATCTATATAATTCAGAGTGTGCAGTACATAAAAAGTGAGCCTACTTGGCAAAGACACCCCTTTGTGTTAATATTCTAAACCCCAAAGTCGTTAGCAAGCCTTGTAGAGAACAGTCAAGAACTCCCTGCTAGGATATTTACAGCCAGGCACTGAGAATGCCAATGTGTGTCAGCAATATGGCAACAGGGACCTGGAGTATACATGACCTGTCTGGTGGGGGAAAAAATGCAGCTGAATCTTTTCAAGCCACCACCTGGGACATGCCTCCAAACCCAGTGCAACTGGTGAAGCCTCTGGAATCTGCAACTGCTCCTTCCTTTTGGCAATTTTCTCCCTCCTGTCATCATTGTAGTTGTCCAGAAACTCATTCCTCTTCCTTGCATCTACCATTTATTCATTTCATCTCTCATCAGCTGAGCATGGCAAACAAAGGCATCTTGTTGGCACACCTTGGTGTGGACAGCGGAGAAGGGGGCTGGGGCTGCGCTGCCAAAACAAGGATCAGGCCTCTCGCAGTTCCCCCACCATCTTCCCCTGGCATGCCAACATCTTACAAATCAAGGCTGCAGAAGTTTTTGGCACTCTGCCAAAAAATGTTGCTAACCCCGGCTCTATATGGAACAGCCCCCAAAGGAAGTACATGACACTTCATCACTAGGTTTCATAGTTGGTAGGATAGGAAGGGACCTGAGCAGATCATCGAGTCTGACCCCCTGCCATGGGCAGGAAAGAATGCTGGGGTCAATTATATGCTGGGGGTTGCATATAGGTTATGCAACCATTTGCTAGACAACAAAAGAATGCTGGGGAGTCGTGTTCCTTGGCACTGTTCCTGGCTCGGGGAAGAAAGGCTGTTCAGTAGTTGGAACTACTAATCACTAGTAGTGACTGCAGACAGGGTAGCCAAGCACACAGATTGGGCACAGTGGGAACATCTACACATACAATTAATGCGAAGGGATAAACTCCAGAGCTGCTTGAACCACAGTACACGGCTCCTAGGCATAGCATCCACATGTGTGCCCAAAACAGCAGCACTTTGATCTAAGGTGGAGCAGGCCTGGACTGGTAGCAGGTTTGGGGGGGTCAGCCCTGGGCTCCAGGTGGCAGCGTTGGGTATTGGAGGGGCTGGCTGGGGCATGAGAGTTCCAATCGTGCAGAACTATGTGGCTAGGCGCAGGCAGTAGTCTCGCCCCCTGCTGCCTGGGTGCAATTTATGCCTGGGCCAGCGCTTATATGCATGTTTTATCCTAGTTAATAACTCCACAGTAAGATAGTACTGTCCCCAGAAGTTCTATCTTATAGCAGAGTTCATTAATTTACTGCACACTAATACAGGTGCACGTGTAGACAATGACACTTTACTGTGGAGCTAATTAGTCTACTCCACAGTACAGCACACATGCAGATGCACCCACTCGGTCTGAAAGGCACCTAGTTAAGAGGATAGAATCTGCATGTGCCATATATGAGACCTAGATTCACTTCCAGTTCTGTCTGACATGACCTTGTGCAACTTCTTAGTGAAACGGATAGCAGCTGATATGAACCTGCTTTGGGAAAGAGGAAGATGCGTTTCTTGTCCAGTAATAAGCATTACTGAATACACAGACATTTAAGCAATAGAGTGGGAGAGATGAAATGTGAACTCATGATCTCATGAATGCCAGACCCCTATATTACCTGATTATCCCTAAATTACCTAAAAGGAAAGCCTCTCTTGACTAAACTCTTCCCCCATGTGGGCCATTAGAGCTCAGGCAGTGAAAACATCAACTCAATGAAAAAGGCATGGCAAATGTCCTGCATACTCCAGTTCTTGTAGGGGATCCATCTACTAAGCCCCGTCACAAGAGGGCAATGCAGAGCTGATCCCTGTAGACCTTTTCACAAGGCTTTGAGAAGCAGAATAGCCAGGCATTGTCTTGCAATAGACAGAGAATGCAAAAAGGGGACCGGCAATCATTGACAGATTGCTGCATCAGGAAGCTAGAAGTTAATAGGGCTTCAATACAGCTCTGTCTCCAGGGCCTGGGTTCTCCAGTCAGGCAGCTTTCCCAAATAAAAGAGTTCTGAGATTAAAACAAAAGGTACAGTATCATGGCTCACTCAGAAAGCCAGACTGAAATACACATTCCTCTTGTACACAATTAAAGGGGTGCTGCTTCTTTAATAATTTACAACTTGCATCTCTGGAAGCAGGTAGAATACAACCTAAGCCCTGGCTTGCCTGCTGAGCTCCCCAGACACCAGGCATCCATGCTGCAGCCCAGAGCTCAAGCCTCAGCCATGTGGCAGGGAACTTCAAATGCCTGAGAACATTCTGTTCTTTCCCAGCAAAAGTAAGAGAGGACAAGGGCCAGTACAGAAACTTGACAGATTTCCAACTCAGGCTTGGGTACACACTGTACCCTGTGGGCTCAAACATGGTTCATGAAGCTTCTAACATGGTACACATCTCAACTCCATACCCTACTGCACTGCTTCTCCTGCTCCAGAGATCCTCAGAAGGGCTCACCACACCCACTGGGGCTGAGCCATCTTGGCAAAGAGGCTCCTGTTTATGCAGCCTCCCTGCCTTGCTCAGATGCTGACAATCTGGGTTTCAGGAATGCTGAGTACCCAGAGTGCTCCTGAGAATAAAGCCCTTCAGGTCAGGCCTAGATTAGCTCTGCCAGTCAATACAAACTAATTGGATGGTACCATGTCTCTCCATCACAAGGCTGGAGCTCAGCTATAGTACATATTGCTTCTCCTGAACCCTTCAATGTTTTGCCAGAAATAGCCCTGTAGCTCACAAAGAACGCCCACCTCGCCTCTTGCCCGTCTCTAGGATGGTCTCCCCACATGATTCTGGAGATGTGACACACTCCACGTGGTCAGAAAGCAAAGTGCTCCCCTAAATTTTCCTGCTCTGCCCACTTAAAAGATTTGGCTCCCTGTCACCAACAGCTGCTAAGATGCACGTTCTTCTTCAGCTGGACCTTTAAATGTTCACACCTTTAGGCCATTAGAGCTTAAACACACCTGGTATTTATAACCACACTAAAGCTCATCAGGTGGGGGTAATAACACCTGGTATTTATAACCACCATCAGGTGGGGGTAATAAGTGAGGGTAATAAGATCTATTGTTTGGTCAAGTCTGCAGTGGTCTTCCCTCCTTTCGACATTTCCTGCCATTGCCAACACTGGCGTTACTTCATGGCTGGAGTCAGCAGTGGAAATGCCATGCATAGATAAGACTCTAGGCAGTTGCTTGCATAAAGCAACTCAGAGCAAGGCTGTGGCGTTAAAAACGGGCAGCACAGATGAGGCTGCTGGGACTGATGGTTCCCCTATAGCAGGGGTGCTTAACCTCCAGCCCGCAGGCCAAATGCAGCCTGTAAGCCCTTTGCATCTGGCTTGCAGGGCTCCCTACAGCTTGGGAAATTTAGTGGTGGGGGAGCAGTGGGCCACACTCCCCCCCTGCCAAATTTCCAAGTCCCAAGCCCTGCCCATTTGGAGCCAGGCCAGGCCCCCTCCCCTTGCAGGGCTGGATTGGGGCCAGGCCACACCCCTCCCCCCCAACCCTGCAAAGCTGGGCCATGTCCCCTTTCTCCACAGGGCCACAGCCGGGGGTGGGTCAACCCCCCCTCCCCCCATGGGGCCAAGCCATGCATTTCCCCACCAAATCCCCCTCCATGGGGCTGGGTGAAGCTCCTTTACCCCTGCAGGGTGGAACTCAGGTCAAGCTGCAACCGACCTCCTCTGCATGGCCAGATGGTGGCAGCACTGGCTCTGGGCACTGGTTGCCAATCTGGCCTGCCAGGGAAAAATGTGGGGCATCACTGCCCTATAGCAATCTGCCCCTCATTTCATCAGATGAAATCCCTTACTGGAGCCCCTTCCCCCTCAAAGAATTTCCCCACAGGAATCCCATCCCTTCTTTCTTCCTGTGCTGTCCAGAGGGAACCCCAACAGGGGCCTTGGTTTAAACCTTCCCTTCAACCATTCAGCAGAGGGGACTCCAGCAGAAGCCATGCTTTACTCCCCTCCCCTCCCCTCCCCCATTCAGCAAAAAACCCCACAAGCAGTACTTCTCAGGCCTCTGCCTAGGTTCATCTGTGACAGGCACTTGCTGCGACTGTTGGTCTCTGCCCCGGCCTGCAGGCCCCTCCACCTTGTCTCAGCCATGTCTTCAACCAGCCCCAGTCAACTCCCACGCTTGCTTGTCCTGCTGCCAACTTTAAAAAGGATATTTCTGGCATGTTTCTCCTTGACAGCTACTTCCTGTGTATTAATGGCCTTATTGATGCTCACAGTCTGAAAAACAGAAAAGGGGTGTGTTTGTGTTCAACGTAAAGAGCCTGGAGGATGAGATGTGGGTCAGGGTCGCATACTTATTCAGATCCTCCCACCCTCATGTATGCACATCCCATTGCTCCCTGCACCTGTTGATGGTTGGTACCAATCCAAGCCCTGTCACTGGAAGCAGCCGTTCTTCCATGCCAGCTGGACTCTACTGATTCCCAGATGCATTTCTGGGAGCTGCCTGGCATCCGCCATGCTCAGCTGCTGCCAGGATTCACTTACTCGGCACAGTAACAATGCAATTCAAACGGTGACTACAAAGGATAATCTCCCTACATTTGCCCTTTGGAGGGCTGAAAAGGGCTGAGGGTAAGCAAGCCAAAGTCAAATCTACCTGCATGACCTTTGATATGGTGGGGCTGGGAGTCATTCTTCTGCTGGGCCAAACAGAAAACAGCTGCCTAGCCCAGGGCATGTAGTTGTCAGATCTCTAGTATATCTGAGAGGAGGTCAGGGAGTGCTGGGGGCACTTAGAGAAACGGCTGCAGTCAGGGTTGTCTGCCAAGTTATATCACACAAGTGCCTGGGAACCTTGTTGAGTGTCAGCACTCCAATGCACTGACTTGTACCATGGAGGACAGCCATCA